TCCTCAAGCACAAACTGCCCGCCACGTTGCCCAATACCCCGGCGTGGCACCGCAGCAACCTGCAGGACTTGCTATGCATGGTCGATCGCTACGGCATGCCAGCCTTTTTTTTAACGCTTACCACAGATGAAGTGTCGGAGACTCGCTGGCCCGAGATAGACTCCCTGGAAGCCAAGCTACACGAGTAAGTGTTCCACTAACGCACAACAATGTACAAAGCCGGGCTTCTGTTTGGGAAGGCGTTTCGCCTGACTGCATCAGTGTAGCAAACCACCACTGGCACCAACTGAGGCACACGGGCGGCAACCACTCTCCGTTTCGTTCTCCCCACAGCTTCTGCACGGGCTTCACCTGGCGCGACGCACCCGCGGAAAACGCATACCTCGCCCACAAGCGTGTGCAGGCGTTCATGTCCAAGGTGCTGAAGACTGGCCGCAGCTCCAAAAAGACTGGTGGTGTACTAGGACAGGTGCAGCAATGGGTGGTACGCTACGAAGTACAAAACAGACACAGCCTGCATGCGCACATCGTGCTGTGGGTGCATCCAGACGACGTAAATCGCGTGGCTTCCGAAATTGTTGCGTGTGTACCTGCGGCCTACCTAGGAGATGCATCCGTACCGTCGTGCCCCTATGGGGCTGGCCACTGGGAAGTGCCGCGTGATCCTCAGCAAGCAGCCCTCTTTCACCACGTGTTGCGCAAGCAGATGCACACCTGCACGGCCGCGGGGGCAGCCGGCTGTTGCCAGTCAGGCACATGTAAATACAAGTTCCCATGGGCTCCCTATCCAAGCAGCACCCCCGCTATCGACCGCACAACCTTCCGGTATCAATATTACCGCCCCACCTGGGCTCACCGCAATGTGGTACCTTACCACCCCACGCTTGCACTGCTGTGGGGGGCCCACTTGAACCTCCAGCGAATTAACTCCGCCAGCTGGTCTTTCTACGTCCTCAAGTATGCCATGAAGGTAGGGCGACTATGCGTGTATGGCTAGCACATGTTGTGCATGGGTGCACACCTGTCTGAACAACAGCAGCTCAATCTGCACCCGCCCTTAATGCAGACCGAGCCCATTGGCAACATAGACCTTGCGGAAGTATCGCGTGTGGCCCTGGGTGTAGCACCTGCTGGTGAGGCAGGAGCGTCCACTCGCTCCACATTTGTTCGTATGGCATCGGCATACCTGGCTGCCAGCGTCATCAGTCCGACCCTCGCCTTTCTCACTGCCGCCAACATTCCCACGGTAACCATGTCAGCTGCCGTTCAGTACATCGATTCCTCCCCGCCGACCATCTGCACACGACTTGTGTATCGCTCCAGTCGCAAGCAGGGTCCATTCCACATCAGTGCACCCCCGGTAGAAATATACTGCCTCCGACCGATTGAGCTCGATGACATCACCTTCTACAACTATTTCGCTACGTACTGCGTCGCCAAACAAGGCGAACCCCCACGTGGGGGAACACTATGCGGAACATCCCTAAATGGCCAGCATGTGTTCAAAGTTGCTCAGCCACGCCTTGTCCGGTTCACCGATGCTAACCCTGCTGCCAATCCCGAGGCCTTTTTCTACAACCTGCTACTCAAGCATGTGCCTTTTCGCCACGAGGACACCCTGCTGTCAGCAAACAACAACTCGGCCACCTACTACGAGGAATGCCAGCTTCGAGGTCTCATCAGCAATGTCAACAACCTGGCAGACTGCATCTCAGCGTAAGTCCAGGGGAACCTACGCCTCTTTCTGTGCTTCCAAGTATAACTTAGTGCTTGCATGGCCTGCCACCGCCTCAGGTATGCCCAGTACCACCTGTACGACAGCGATCATTGCCACACCCTGCTGGCTACGTTACTGTCCAAGTACAGCCCGGATGAAGACCTGGACCTCCTGGGTGACGACTTGCTAGACTCGCTGGTGGGAGGACCGCTCCCAGCCGCCCCCCCCCGTCCACCCGGCATCAACCCTGCAAATGCGGAGCACGTGCGACAAGCCAGCAAGGCCGCAGCTCGTGCCGTGGCCCTTGCTACAGAGTTTGCCGAACACGATGAGCAGCCTTTCACTCCGCAGCAGCAACTTGTGGTAGATACCTTGCTACAGCAGCATGTCGGCCTGGCTGTCGTGAGCGGGGGCCCAGGGTGTGGCAAAACCTTCCTGGTCAGGAAGATGACACGTCTGCTGCAAGGCTGCACCGTGCATTTGTCCGCCAGCACCGGTGCAGCCGCGGTTCGACTCAGCCGCTTTGCAACAACCAACCACATGGCCTTCAGCCTGCCCATTGGACGGCAGTATGGCAGCAGCAGCATCAGACCCATCCGCAGTACAGATACACATGTGCATGTGCTGCAAACCGCCGACGTCTTCTTCCTGGACGAGTTCTCCATGACGACGGGCGAACAACTGATGCACATGCTCATCACGTTATGGCACGCCAGCGGTGAAACCAGCATTGAAGACATGCTGAAGCGTTACCTCATCGTCCTGGTGGGGGACCACGCGCAGGTGTGTGTCTCTGCCACACCCCTCCACCAACCCATCACGCACTTGACAATCCGGCTGCCCTCACACATTAGCCTAGCTTGTACAAAATGCAGTGCGCCTCTTCTTCCTATTCTGCAGTTGCCACCCGTGTGCCGGCACCAAGGCGGACAAGGAGCCACAACCCCGGCGCCTGCCGTGTGCACCCAATGCCATATCACATCCTGCTGGTACTGGCAGTTTGCCACACGTTTGCACCTTGAAGCCTCGGTACGGCATGCTGCTGACCCTGCATTTGCGGCCTTCCTCGATACTGTCCGGGTGCGGGCCCCTACCCAAGTCGAAATTGACACCGTTTTTGGCGCGTGGGCGCCTACCAATCCCCACTTCATTACAGCCGCCGAGGTGGCGGCACTGTGCGACGGCACTACCACAGTTCTGTGCACCCACCGGGAGGATGCCATGGAGCACAATGTCGCCATCCTCCGACAGCTGGAAGGAACCCTGGTACAGCAGATAGTGCCCTGCCCCCTCCACCACAACGTACACGATGCAGATGCGGCGCTGGTGCTGGATGCTTGGCTACAAGAGACAACGTTCCACACCTTGCCGTGTGTAGCTGTGGGTGCACGTGTGTGCCTGACAGACAACGTCGCCATCGCCCGCAGCGCCGCCAACGGAGCCATTGGCACGGTATTGGCCCTACATCACGGCGCAGATGGCTATGTCGACAAGGTTCAAGTTCGGCTGGACAGCACAGGCCGCACTATCACCCTTGGTCGTACCCTGAGCCACTACCGCATCCTCAACGGAGTCAAGTACTTCAAGTCCACCTTTCCGTTGTCCTTGGCCTGGGCTATGACGGCACACAGAGCACAAGTAAGCCGGGCGTACAGTTCACAAAACACGGCAATGGGCAGGTCTCAAGTTTCCGTCATCGTGTGTCAGACCCGGCATTATTCATATGCCCAGTACCTTGTCTTCCTACCTGAACCTCCCTGCCTGCTTCCTACTGTGCACTAGGGAGCCACCTTGTCGGGCCAGACCATCATCCATGCCCGAGATGTGTTCGTGCCCGGACTGCTGTATGTCATGCTGTCTCGTGTCACTGAAAGCCGCTTGGTAAAGGTGGTGGGCTGCTTGACACCTACCCTGTTCAACCCCGTACAAGTACCGGGCTTTGAACCACCGCATGCCGCCCCGGAGCAGCCACCAGCTCAGCCCATGCCAGTGCCCACTGCTCCGCAGACTGAGCGACAGGTCATCCTGGCGACCACTGACGGGCAGCTACATGCGGAACTCATGGACTTCAACTAGGTTGCAGGGTTGTACATGCTTGTTGCAACGGGCTGTGAGCAGCAACATGACACCCTCACTCGTTAGCTATGTCGCTAGGTCGCTACCCAGGTCGCTAGGTCGGACACATTTCACTGACGATGCGGCCCTGACACGTGTTGCCGTGAATGTTAGGTGTTTGCTGGTTGCCGGAAGTACTACGTGGTGTTCACCCAAAGTGCTCGCTATCTCGGTGTTTCCTATCAGGCACCATGTCCTTTTACAACAAGACTCCTTCCTCGCTTCTCCTTGCCGCTATTCTGTACCACAGCTCCATGCACGCCGTCGGCACCCCTTGCAGATATTAGTACACATGGGGTCCAGATGGTGCCCAGGAATCGGCTTGCTCAGGCACCATCATTCGTCTCACACACCTACCAGATATGGTATCAACCCATGCACATGCCCAACAGTCGAACTTCACTTAGTAGCCGTAGATCATGACGCCAAGCACAAACATCACATGTCTACTACCGACATAGTCCTCGGCTTGAAGTCCGTGTTACATTCCGAAGCTTTCCGAGCCATTCATCGCTGGACGACTTGGCAGCGCTTTCATGCGCCCTTACCATATCTACTCGGAATTCTGTGCGTGAAAATAGTACGTGCATGCTTACATGCTGTGTAATAATATAGCTACTTCCCGGCAGCGCTGTCCCCAACGCTCGGACCGTTCCTGCTGAACACCGCTTTCCACCACATACTAAAATAAAACAATCCACCCATACAGTGCCCTGCTCCAGCCCATGGCCGCTCTGCACACTCCACAGTTCACGATTACCCAAATGTCTCGCTTCATACAGAGCATCAACCACTTACTCCCTGTACATATCAGTGCTACTTTACATGCTGAGCGATCGCGACTTTCTCGCTTGCCGATCATCGCAGTTTCGCCTTCCAGTATGCCTTCCGCTGTGTCGCACGACTTACTGCAGCGACTTTCGTTCCATCCTCTACAACTCCGGCAAGGCAGCGCTAGCAGAATAAGTGCGGCGGCAGCTCCTGGGGCCTGTTCGTCTTCACCAGACAACGAACAGCCACTTTCGTATATTGCCTCACGCGCCCTTTCACGACATTACCACACGCTGAAATTTGCCGTTTGCACGCAGCACTTCTAGTCCTTCACTTCGCATTCCTCATTCCATTATACACTGTACAGTTACCAAATAAAACAATACCGCACTTAAACATGGCCCCTAAATTCCGCCCCTCAATTCCGAGCACATCAGCACCATTTTCTCTGTCAACGGGGGCAGCTGTTCCACCACCTACGGCTTCTGACGTGCCACGAACAGCGCCCACGGATATCCACGCCTTATGGGCGCAACTGAAAAGCGCTTCGCCAAACGGCGGTGGGCGAGATAAAGCCGCAGCAAGCGGATCCTGGTCCGCCGCTTCAAAAGCCTTAACTTACAAGTACGTGCCGAAGCAGCATATTCTTGCACAGCATTAGCAATGTCCCTGTCATACTTACAGCTGCGCCTTCCATACTTCCTTTCCTATCCCAGTCCCTTCACTATTTGGCCTTCTCACCTCGCCAACTACCTCCTGCAGGCAAAAACTCCTCCTTTCAAGCTATGGTCTCCATGACGAGGCAGCCCTCTTCCAATCATACACAAACGCCGAATTCAATGCCGAACTGGAACGTGCGAGGAAGCACCGTGCCGCGTTCGAGTTAACCTACGGATCCAAGCCCGCAACTAGTACGTTCTCGGTCCTCGCCCTTCGCCTGCCGGTCTGCCATGTTAGTCAGTACATCACAAGATCCTGCGCATATCTCCCGCAATAATCCATACTGCCCACCATTCAACTTCGCATGACCTTCCACATTCCTCCTTCCCACCCACCGCAGCGGTCCTGTACAACATAACCAAGCGAATCCATGATGGTGACATGCCAGACTTCCACACTGCGATGTACGCCGACATCATGAAGCTCTGGATTACATCTGCGGGCTCACTGCGAGCCGATACGGCCATACAGCTCATTTATGACTTCGGCATGGACGCGGCCGAAGTCCTTGACTCTACACAGGAATTCGCGGTGTCGGTTCTGGAGGCAGCCACCAAAGCCCGTGCAGATGGCAAACTGCTCCCCTTCACAGCACCCAAACGCCCAAGATCACCATCCGACGGGGCAGCAGATTCCGGCAACACCAGCCGCGGAGTGGGTGCCTCCACAAGCACATGACTATACACGGTCACATGCATCGACAACGGCCGTATATATGTCGGCCAATCCGTCTGTCCTAGCCGCCACTACCATACACATGCAAGAACTCCCCCCAAGCGGATGCAAGCGGACGCGGCAACTTACAAGCCCTTCAACCTGCACTTCCGCCTCACTCTAGTCATGTCCTGCTGCAGTCGGCGTGTGGCAGACATGATGGAGGAGTACTACATCGACAAACACAATGCCCTGGGACCACACGGCTACAATATCGCGCCTGGCGCGCCACGTGCATGGCCAAGACTGCATGCATGCATCGCTCGCAGCAAGTTCTGTACAGCACAGATAACGCGGGATGTGTCCTTACCTACCGAACCGCAATCGACATGACGGTACTCTTGCCGTGCAAGCCTTCCAACTGACATACCTACACTCCTCAGCTCCTCATAGCCACTTGGCCAAGCTGCTTTACTTTTGGTTTTTTGCTTGACATATCAGCCTTGCGTGAATATGCCTTCCAGATCCATATCACCGGTTGCCCTGCAAGCATATCATGCTTTGCTGCAGAGCTTTCTTGTGCACGGCTACTTGTACATATCCGGTGGTCACACCCCGTCCCGTCTGCACAACGTTGTTCCTCTTGTCCGTTAAGGCGGGCTGTCACTGCTGCCGCTATACCTTGTAAAACGTGTTCCGGTTCCTTTTCGTCCTCATCATCCGCTTAACCACAGTACTTATTACAGGTCATCAACACACTGGCGCAGCCTCGCATCTTCATGCATATAGGCGGGCTGTACTATACACACGAAAGCAAGGTTCTTTTCCGTGGTCAGCACTTCCTCTTTCCGTTGGACACCGTTACCTCCTACTTCCTGTCGGTCTCACGCGCACAGCACTGCTCCACCACATCTCTTTGTCCACGTACTTACATCGCGCATTCGTCTTCCTCTGTTCCTTTTCAACAAGCCGTAGCCCCCTTCGCCTTCCAAACAAACGCATTCGCACTTCACCCCAGTCCAATACGGCAGCCATCGGCTATATCTACAGTTCATTCAATCCTTCCGTAGCCAAACCTAATAATACGCGGCCAGCTGCTTCACCAGATACCCACAATGATTCGTAAGGCCCGTCTTCTTCGGGCCTCTCAGTCCTTTTCTCTCTTTCATTCTTTGTAACAGAAAATGGCATTTACCTATGGAGCAACAACTAAGCCCCGGAGTGGAAGTTGGCTAACGAATTACTGCGAGGCCAGGAACACCAATTGAGTTATGGCTGGTTGCATAACAAATTGCGGGATGCGAGGCGAAGTGCGGTCTTGCGTACTGCTGAAGTCGCAAGTCGCAAGTTGCAAGTCGCAAGTTGCAAGTCGCAAGTCGCAAGGAACACGCATAATTTCTATTATAATATTCTATATACGCGAATACGTACGTGTGCATACTCAGTTTGTAGAGCGGATCTCAAAATGGGAGAAGTATTGAACTGTTACTACTACAGCAAACAAGTGCGCGAACGTGTTTGCCACCTCTATTTCGACGAGGGTTACACGCAAGCGCAAATAGCTGAGGCTTTCGGGCACAGACCTTGCGAGAGGACTGTGCATGCTATCATACAGTCCTACGTGGCGAATGGCGATGTCCTGCCGCTTAGAGGACAAACAGGAACACGCAAACTACGCAAGTTTGATGAGATCGCTGCACAGACGCTGGTGGAGCTGGTGCAGGCCGACGACCAAGCAATGCTCTCCCATCTGGCCACCGCTATGACAAACTTACTGGGCACTCTTTGGAGCGTCCCTGATATTAGCCGTGCATTGTCTGAGCTGGGTTACGTCCGCAAGAAGGTTTTTACCAGGGCATTCGAGGCACGGGAATCAGTTCAGCTGGCATATCGCGAGCTTGTGTGACAATATGTTCAAATGGCCCAGAAGCCTCCCACTCTGTAACAATTCAATTCAACTTCGTGAGCTTGTGTGTGTGTATGTATGTGTGTGCGTGTGCGTGTGCGTGTGTTGCAAGTAATTGACCCCCAATGGCATACTCCAGGCCGGTTCCGGCCCGGTTCCGACCTAACGGGTCCAGTTAACGAGATGGGTAACCGGTCGGTAGGATTACCGGGCGAACCGTTATCCGTTAACCGTCCCCAGTAATCGGTAACCGATGTCGGTAACCTGGCATGAGCAAAAATGCATTTCTGATTGCAACCAGTTTCTTTGTGACAATGCCCATTGTCACAAGGTTCATGCCCACGTGTCACAACCCGACAAGCTTGAGGAGGTTAAGGCAATGTGAATGCCGGGTGACAGGGGTGACAGTCTTGTGCAGGCACATTTGGAGACTAGTTTACACTGAGATTGGGGTGATGTTGGATTAGAATACTTGCAGTTCATGAAATTGAGGAAATGTGTTGCATAGGCATATCCAAACGTTTCATAGGGACGTTGTTTCGCCCGTAACAAACTTGTTACGGGCGAAACAAACTGGATTTCCACAGTCCCACCACTCAAAGAGCTCCCCACACCATCGCAAAGTCCCTTTTTTATTACAGACACATGTAACAAGTTGTCATAGCTTGAGATTGTCGATATATGACTGCTGGATTGTGACCAGGCCATCTCCTTACATGTCTTGCTGCACCAGCATGAGCAGTGATCCCTTCTGTTCAAAATTTTCAGGCAACATCGCAATGAGGCAAAACATTGTGCCGAATCTGCCGTACAAAGAGTGTTCAAAGCTTCACGCTACTAACAGACGAATACATAAGCATTCACTTACCTTGAAGGAATAAAGGAATTTTATAGCTTCATACAAATTCGCCTATCAGCAACTCTCCCTGGTCGTTCAAAAGTTGCTTGAAGATTCTACCATCTCCATACTATGAAGGAGCGCTTCTTCATTTCTTCATTTTATCTGAACCTTAACATATCCTTCCAACACAATGTCCATGGACAACGGTAATGAGGTCGGCGCCTACGAGTTTGACCGGAACACCCTGGACAACATCGCCCGTCGGCGACAAGATCGCCCACGCAAGAAATACAGCCAGCATCATCCAGTGGATGAGTTTGGAGTACATAAGTTTGCCAGGGCAAACAATCTAAGTCAATTTACCGCGTGCCAATTGGAGGATGCCTTGTCTCAAAAGTTTGTCCTAGCATAGCTTGCGTAGCTAGTATTGCCTGGTTTTAGTTGTTGCATGTAAGCTTGTGAGTTGGTGGCCTGGTTCATGCTTATGGGCGACAATTGAAATGCCGGGACAATGACTTATTAGGGACAATGACATGGCATTTCACGCCCTCAAAGCGGGAACAAACGCTAAAACTAAATAAATACATAGTTCTAAATCTTCTACTAAAATTTTCCTGCAGCGTTAGAGGCCTTTAATTAATATTGGCGAACGATGCTTCCCGCGCTACCGGGATACTCCCTATGGCA